CACTTAATAAACAAGTCCAGAACACCATGGGAATCAGTAAAGTGCTGCCTTCATATAAATGTCCTAAAATTAACATCAAGAAATTCAATAGTAATTTCATTGTGTAAAAACAATCACAATTGTATTTTGAAATAAAGGTCTGTAATGGCACCAGTTATGTAAACACATAGAAATAACACCTTAAATTGAATGTATTTTATAAGCAATAAGCAACTCAAGGCTTTAAAAATAGATACTGCATTTTAGTTTATTAAATATGTGCTCCACTTTTGTGGGTTATCATGCTTAGGTTCATATAACCATCTAGTAACATACCCTTCTTCCAAGTACTGGAAAATAATAGTCCTGAATAACACTAAAACGCATTCTACATACCTGAAAGCTGCCATGTAGAATTATCTTTACTAGAACTGTTTTTGAACCTAATAAATTTTACCTTTCTAAAAAATGTTTTAAAAATATTTAAAAATGTTTTAAACACCTTTTAAATTTTTTTTAAGTGATTTTCAACCGTAGGCATCAAGTTTACTCTGTTCATGACAAACGTTTTTGAAGAAAAGTGAACGCTGAATAACCTTAGTGTTTCTATTTTCTAATTTTAGTTTAAAAATATAAAACTTCAAAAGTACTTGAATTCAACAATAACAAGACAATTTTCCACTGTTGTTAAACCAATTTAGAAAATGAGAATAGTGCTATCACTAAAATTACACAATTTCTCATATCAATTTTGCTTTTAATTGGGAATGACAATGATCGTTTTACAACAGCTTCTATATTTTTCATCTGCTTAACTGGAGCCAACCTGGGATGTGATTTTATGAACAAACACAAAATAAATAAATAAATAAATAAATGTATGCAATATATAAATTTATTAAATGGTAATATTGTTTCACCTGCTTTTTCCCAAGAAGATGAATAATTCAAAAAGAAAAATCAATTTTTATGAAATGTGCTGTTATGATGAATAACTGGGTATATCATTGCATATATATTATAATCACAACTGTACTCCAGCATAAAATTATCTGATGTGATCTTGTTCCATTGGTATCCATGAGAGCTCAGACAAATACCTTCTCAGCATATAACCTACCAACTTTCAGTGGCAGATGATTTACACAAAGTTACCAGCAGTGACTCCCACTAAATAAACTACAGCAGAAAGAATCACAGAATGCTTAAGGTTGGAAGGGACCTCTAGAGGTCATCCAGTCCAACCCCCTTGCACACGCAGGGCCACCCAGAAAGAACACCACATAAAAGCAATTGCATGAAAGATTTATATTTCTACCCAAAGGAAAAACACCACAATGAAGAGGCAAATATAGTTCAAATGAAACAGTGTGTCTCTTGTTTCATCTTTGGTGCAGGGACCTTACCTGATTTGACAAACTGTTCAGCTGGGTGAATGGTGTCCTCAGAGTCTGATGATGTTGTCTGTGCTGGGACAGATCTTTCTTTAAGGCCTGCATTTTTCAGTTATAAAGTTAACTTTAGAGTTTTTTTTGTTTGTTTGTTTTCATTCAATTATATATCAAGAAAGAGACAATCTTGTTTCAATTATTTCAATCACAAAGGAAAAAATATTTCACATTAAACACTTCAAAAGATATCCAAACAATCAATCATTACTACAGGGCCATATTGATAAAATGTACAAAAATGTACAAAAAGACTAAAGTATATTCATATAATATACAAATATATATTTTGAAGATCCCCCCAAAAATGAGAAAAACTAGATGGAATTTTTAGCAGCTGTGTCTAATTCAAAGAAACTAAGCAATTATTAAGCTAGTTTCATGTTCTGTTCAGATTTCTAAGAAGAATATGCAGCAATTGGTTTATCTTCTTGGAGAAAAAATCCTTCACAATCTCTTTTTTTTTAGTGTATATTTTTTATGAATAATTGCCTTGTTCTTTACAATATCCTGCTCATTGTGATCGAGATTATCAGTCCTTCCAAGATTTAATACATAGGATTAATTAAGTACAAGCACAAAATACATAGGAAATTGTAAAGAAACCTTTAGCTCTAACTTTGTCTTCAATATTAACTAGTCTCTGTCTCATTTCCTTTAACTCCTGAGATTCTGCCAATAAGATGCTTGCTATTTATACCACTAAGTCTTTTCTGGATGAAAACATAATGAAAAGCAAGAAAGCAACAACAATAATGATCAACACCAAGGTAAGAGATAAAGGTAACCTAAATCTTAGATAAATATCTGCCCAGTATTAAGATGGTCATTATTTCTCATTTACTGTCCTAGTTTCAGAAAGCACAGTGAAAAGCTTGAGAGATTATGCCACAGCCTAAGACATCGCATCCTCAAGAAGAAGTTATTGATGTTAGCCTAATCCTCTTTTCTGTTATCCTTTAAGAAGGATTGAAGCAAGATTTAAACAAGACAGGTTCTGACAGATATAGAGAAAAAGTTTTTCCCAGTGAGCACAGTCAATCAGTGGAACAGGCTGTCCATAAATGTTGTACAGGCTCCATCCTTCGAGGTTTTCAAGATCGTACGAGATAAAGCTCAGAGTACCCTGGTCTCATCTCTCAGTAGACTCTGCTTTCAGTAGGATGCTGGACTACTGACCTCTTGAAGTTACTTCCAAACTGAATTCTCCTGTGATTCTAGGATGGTTTTCTGATATTTGATTTTATATGAGTTGTGAGGTTAACTAAGTTATTTTCTAAAATAAAGAAACAGCGTTCCTCCTCAGGAGCCGGGGAGAAAGCAAATAAAACTAAACAAAATGAAAAGAACTGATTTCTCAGAGTAAAATTCAAAGAAATCACTTGAATGAAAAGAATTATAATAATAGTAAAAGAAGCTAACTATAATGAGCACTCTGCTGCTGCCAAGACTGGTAGAAGTAACTGTACGTGAAACACCATAAGCATTGTACTTCAAGGCACTAAAGTTCTTAAAACATATATCATAAAGTCTCTGCTAAGTCAGGTATATCTCACTACAGATATGACTAGTGTATCTCAAAATACTTTTGTGTAAACTATAGAGATGCTATTATTTTAAAGACTGTGAAAAGCATATATTCACTATCCAATACATGTGAACAGGAGAAAAATGAATTAATTCTAGTTTCGCTTTTTGTATTACCTAAACTAAATTGAATATATTTTTAAAATATCTTACCTAGGAGCCCACTACTATAGAGTCAAGATCACAAGCTGGATTAAAAAAAAAAAGCCATATTGACATCTTTCTTCTTTGCCAATTTTCTCCTGTTTCATTAGAAAAAAATTCAAAATATTCCTAGACAAAACTTCCATTCATCTTTTGCTGCACTAATATTAATGACTAAAAGAGTAACAAGTTACTTCATTCTCTAATCAGCTTTGAATACAGAATAGATGGGAAACAGCTAATTATTTAATGCTACATTCTCAGAATCCAGAAGAGAAGAAAAACATCCATCCTACTTTCACACACACAAATCACCAGCTTACAATATCCACATTTTCAAATAAGTTGTGGCTCTATCCTCTGATAACCCACACCCATTTTAAGGTTAACCATTTTCTCTGCTTCATAAGGTTTTTGCTGAATGATATTTTTTATATCATTCAAAGCATTTCCCAAGATACTCAGGCCTTCAGAACAAACCAGCACTTACAGTGCATAAAAGGTAAGAAGAGACTAGCAAATTTTTCTTTGTTTACCTTGCACATTTGTGACTTTGGCTTTGACGCTTTATAGATCAGCTATCAAATATGTGTTCCTTGCTGTCTCCTATGCAAACCTATGCTATCTCACATACTTTTTTGAAACATACTCTTTCATCGGATATGAAGTTACACTCTATTTTTACTTTTGGTGCATTTTTTTGAGTTTAGGTGGTAACTTGCCATATTATCTGGATCACAATAATGCTTCACAGAGATTATTGCAACAGCACAACAAATGTCCAGGCAAAAATCTCATTTTATTATGTGCCTATCTGTATAGCCTACAGTGCTGCTCAAAAGAAATGTTTTTGAGAAACGAACTATTTTAAGACCAGACAGACTTTGGGTCATACATGAATACACAACAATTAGAAATTCATTCCAAATTTCACTCTCCAGATATTTACAATTTCTGCCAAGTTAGAGAGGAAAACAAAGTGGAGGAAAACATGGTATCTCCCCACTCCCCCCTTAAGAACAACTGTGATATTAGTGTTCACCTATCAAACATGTACCTTAACACCAAATAGAGCAAATATGAATAAACACATCTCTATCATTGCTGAAACTTAAAAATTAAAACTCATTACACAAGTGCATTTAAGAAATACGATTCCTGAAGGTAACAATATTTTCTTTGACAAACAAATAATGCTTTCAGCAGTATAACATTCATAAAACATATCTTTTCCCCTTCCTACCACATGTGTAAGCATTTGACAAATAGCTCAGTACATCAAATCTTTCAATTATCTAAGTACTGTACTACTAGTTATAGCTGTTATTTAATCCATTTTTAAAAAAGGTTTCCTGTCAAAGAATCAGATTGTATCTTACCCCATTACCACATCTTTTAACCTTAGGGATCAAAGCATCTTAGGCAGGTATTCATGTGCTCTATGCACATATATGTGCTGTCAACAGTTTTATACTGAAAATTGAGGCAGAACAGAGAACAGAATATTATCTTACAACCATTCACATGCATGAGCTCAATATCTACCTCACTGTTTTTCTTTTAAAAAATCCCGCAATATTATAGTAAAAGAATCTTCAGCTATCATCACAAATTTTGTTTTGAATCTTTTGTAACTTTATTGGGCAACTAATGTTTCAACAAAATAAGCAACAGTATTTGTCTAGTAAAATTAGAAAATATTCCTTTCCTCAACAAACAAGAAAGCAATTATAAATTCAATAAAATACTGAAGGATAAATCCTTCTGAAGAAACGTTTTGTAACTTCCTATACATTCCAATTAGACTGCTGGATAAATCACTTCTTATTGCTAAAAATATAGAGGGTATAACAGCAAATTAACATAGGAGATTGCTTACAGAAGTGTCATGTACTTGGAAAGTGTTTTTTGAAGAAAATGATCTTAATAGCTGTAAAAAAGAAGCTCTAATCAAGTTCAACCAGAAGACAGTAATAAAAGAATACCACTCTTCTTTAAATAGGAATGAAACCCAATAATTATCCATAAATAGTGCAATGGTCTCACTTTTACAAGTATTCACCAGAAGCTTCCAGTGGAAGACTGCTATTAATGAAAGAGCACTGAAAAATCTGACTCTGATTTTGAACAGTTGAATTATTTGGAAAATCTGGCTACAGTAAACTGAAAAGTTGATAGTTCAGACCAAAAAAAAAAAAAAAAAACCAGAATATACTATCACAGGATGCATAAAGGCAGTGTAGTACCACCTTGTTTGTGTACACCTTGAAGTCATACAATTAAATGCAATGCTACACAGGCATTCAGACCAACTTTGAAATAGTTTTATGAGTTTTCCTAGAATTTACACTTCCTTACTATTATCTCATGACAATACATTCCACTAATTCTCTGCTTTTGGGAAATGAAAAAAATCTCATGGATTTTCACTGCATGTGTCCAGGTAATCCTCGTTCGCCCTTAAACTTATACTTGATACGCAACATTACACTTTAGCCCCATACCAAGAAAAGAGCATTTTCATACAAAGCAAACAAACAAACAAAAAAAAAAAAACAGATGTAGATTGAGAGTATGCTTAAAAGTAACTGCCATTAATCTGGTATTTCTGTTACGAATACATGTACAGTGACCCAGGATACATTAGCATATGAACATATTTCACAGCAGTCATTTTGCTTTTTGTTTACAATGCCAGAACATGTGTACCAATTTTCAAAAAGCAATTATGCATAACCTTTCTTTCCACTTATCATTTCTACAAAACATAATTTTCTTATTGTCGCATTTCTCATATACCTATTAATACACTGAATTTCTCATCCATCAGATCTATTCCTACTTAGCGCAACTGGAATCCTGATTATTTCTTTTCTTTCTTATCTTCCTTTGCTGAGCTTTCAGAAATTTTGGATGGACTTTTAGCTATCTTTTTTGCTTCTTTGCCTTTTCCCGCCAGAGTAGTACCAGCCTTTTCAGTAGCTGATTTTTTTGTAGTCTCCTTGGATTTGACATTTTTGTCTAGGCCTTTTACCTTTTCCTTTCCTTTGTCTCTTTTAACCTTGTCAGAATCTTTCTTTAGTTTATCCATCTCAACAGTTTTCTTGTCCTTTCGATCAGCAGCATCTTTTCCTTTTCTGGCCTTCTTTTTTTCTTCCTCATTTTTGATTTCATCCTTCTTGGAATCCTGTTTCTCCTTTATTTTCTTGACTGGTTCTTTAATTGCTTCTTTTACTTTTTTTGTTTTGTTTTTCATTTAAAAAAGGGGGAAATGTTCAGTAAGAGAACCATTTTAAATCACAGAATATATTTTA